TGGTCTGCTCCAGAGATAGGGATGAGCTGGGGATTGAAACTGGAAGAGTCAGAGGAGAGAGTGCAAACTTGCACAGCCACTTTGGAAATCAGTATGGTGGTTTCTCAGAAAATTGGGAATCAAGTTACCTCAAGACCCAGCAATACCACTCTGGAGCGTATACCCAAAGGATGCTCAATTATACCACAAAGACACTTGCTCAGCTATGTTCCTAGCAGCATTATTTGTAATAGCCATAACCTGGAAACAATCTAGATGCCCTTCAGCTGAAGAATGAATAAAGAAAATGTGCTACATTTACACAATGGAGTATTATTCAGTAGTTAAAAAAATGACAACATAAAATTTGCAGGCAAATGAAACTAGAAAAAAAAATCATCTTGAGTGAGATAATCCATAACCAGAAAGACAAACATGGTATGTAAAGCAATGGATAACCAGGCTATAATTCACAACCCCAGAGAAACTAAGTAACAAGGAGGACCTTAAGAGGGACATGCATAAATTGTCCTGGGAGGGGGAAATAGATAAGATATTCTGGGAAAACTGGGAGAGGGGAGAGGGGAGAGGATGGGGAATGAGAACATGAGGAAATGGGATGTTGAGTAGGGGGAGGGATGGAGAGGGAGAACAATGAAAGAGATATCTTGATAGAGGGAGCCATTATGGGGTTAGGGAGAAACCTGGTGCTAGGGAAATCCCCAGTAACCCACAAGGATAATCCCAGCTAAGACTCTTAGCAATAGTGGAGAGGGTGCCTGAACTAACTGGTCTTCCCCTGTAATTAGATTGGTGACTACTCTAATTTTAATCAAAGAGCTTTCATCCAGTGACTAAAGGAAGCAGATTCAGAGATTCACAGCTAGGTACTGGGCCAAGCATCTGGAGTTCAAGTGAAGAAAGGGAAAAAGGATTGCATGAGCAGGGAGGTGGGAGATGTCAAGATCATGATGAGGAACCCCACAGAGACAGCTGAGCTGAGCTAGCAAGAGCTCAAGGACTCTGGATGATAGCTAGGGAAACTGCAGGGGACCAAACTAGGCCCTATGAATGTGGGTGACAGTTGTGTGACTTAGTCTTGTAGTGTATTCCTGTTGAGCTCTTGGCCTGGTTCCAGGGAGTAGCACTTAACCCCAATCCTTCCTTTGTTTAACCACACTTTTTGTTTCTCTTACCTTTTGTTTCTCTTATAGCCCTGCCTGGAGCCATCCCTGGGGGTAGGTGGGTCCCGTAGAGGGTGTAAGGAGTCTGCAGGAGAAGGAAGTGAGCCAGGCCATGGTGGTCAGAAGACTCTTGCAGCCTGACTGACTAGCAGCCAGAGTGTTTCTTTATTTATACATAATTTAGTTAGCAGGGATACATTCATGATGTTCCAAAACATAGATCATATCATTTTTGGTTTTGGACATGTGTTTCACTTCCTTTTGCTCAACTTTTAGTCATCATTAATAAACTATGACAGAACAGAGTTATCATTTCCAATCATTTTCCCTCAAGTTTTGACATCATTAATAAACAGAGTTATCATTCTTACTCATTAACCCCATAACCCAATTTTTGGAAATCTAGAGGCATATGACAGCCTGTGCTCAGGCTGGTTGTTTTGGTTGCTTCAAGGACATTAGACCAAAACAAAATCTTCAACCACCCTGGGCATTTTGCCATGTCCCAAGCAGTGTATTATTAACTCTTAGTGGTCAGAGTGCCCAGGAAAAATCCTCAGGCCAAACTGCTGCAGCTATTATTCAAATTCTGGCATAATACAATCAATGTTCACATTTATATCTTTATAGAATTGGTCTCTATGTCTAATCCTGGTGTTCTGTTGTTCCTTGGTCATATGACATTACAGTGGCTCTACATGAGCTAATTTCTAAGAGAGGGAGGTCCTAACATCTCATACTTTTATCATCTTTCCACTCCACACTTTACTTATCAATATGCCTTTATGTAGGGCAGAGTTGTATGCCATGTAATTGTCTGAGTATACAGTGGGAAGAGGCTTATAATCTGAACTGTGGACAATTCCTCTAGCCCACCAAATCTTTTTGACCTTTCTGAATTTACTTTGTTTTGAATATCTTGTTCAAGTGTAAGTATAGGGACAAATGTTTCAAGAATGTCTCATAGTCTCATAAAGAGACCTCTGGCTTCTTCTTTATGTGTCACAACCTCCAAGGTGTAAGGAAGACCTTCAAGTAGATAAGGATATCTCCCTCAAAGTGTGTGTGTGTGGGGGGGGGATAGTATGTTCAGGACTTTCCTGGGTAAGCTTAGAAGCAGCATTCCTGGGAGAAGGCATAAATGAGTCATAAGGAATTTTCCATCAATCTAACATCTCCAAATTGTACAAATATTAAAAGTATCCCAAGTATGTAACAGGTGGAGACGAAAACCAAAGGTAGCATGGCAGCCATCATGTGGCTCAGCTCTGCTGGATCTTTGTCAAGCAGCTGTGCTGGCTTTATGACATCTGTCATTCCATTCAGATATGGCTGTGCCATAGCCCTATGTGAATCTTGTCAGAGAGTCAAGGATCCTCCAATGATCAAAGGCCTATGTAAAACTTGGTTCAGGAAACCTGGAAAACCATGGTACCTGATAAATCAAGTAGTTTGCACTTGGCATTTGGTCTCTGGGAGCTCCTTTTAGGTTGCTTTGAAGATACAGGAATTAACTGGCTAAAATGTAAATAGAGAATCATGCCCTGACTCTGAAACCAGTACCAAAGAAACACTCTTGGCCCCTAGAATCAGAGTCAGTGAATGAAATGTGCCCTGTCCTTAAAGGTAGTGTCAAAAAGCTCAGTAAGGCCAGTGAGAGAAACGCAGTTTAGCTCATATCAGAGCCATCTCTGGCCCTGTCCAACTTGTAGCACGAATCTTAACAGGTCTTATTAATAAAATCAAACCTGGAACCAGGTATTGGGGTGAATGCAGAACAAGCCACAGCTTCCTCACCTGATCCTGTTTCCTCAGACTGGAAGCCTCTGAGTCCTCATCCAAATGGATCTCAGCTGAACTGCTACTCAAAATCCTAAAAGCTTAACCAGGCTCTAGTTCCGGGTTTTCACACCTTACATACCTTTCTGCTTCCTGTCATCACTTCCTGGGATTAAAGGTTCTTGTTACCATGCCTGGCTGTTTCCAGTGTGGCCTTGAACTCACAGAGATCAAGGCAGATCTCTGCCTCTGGAATGCTGGGATTAAAGGTGTGTGTGCCTCCATTTTCTGGCTTCTATATCTAGTGACTGTTCTCTTCTCTGACCCCAGATAAGTTTATTAGGGTGCACAATATTTTGGGGAACACAATATCACCAGACCAACCGACTTGTGAAACCAACCAATCACAGAGCAGGACAGTAGAATCATGGTCCTAGGGCCTAGGACCAGGGAAAGAAACACAGCCTGTGTTTGGGTCCCGAGCCAGAGAAATGAACACTTTATCCCCAAACCCCAAATCAAGGAAACATGCTCTGACTCTGAAACTAGTGCCAAAATAACACTCTTGGTCCCTAGAATCAGAGTCAGTGAAAGAAATGTGCCCTAGCCTTATAATTAGTGTCAAAAAGCCAAGTAAGGCCAGTGAAAGAAACAGTTTGGCTCTGAAACCAAGGCCATCTCTTTCCTTAGCCCACAAAACTGGCCAATCCCTGGGCAGAAAATACTAACCAATCACTGGTTGACTCCACCCTTAAGAGAGCCTATATAAATGGCCCTGCCTAGTCAGTTGTGAGCTGTACTCTCCACCCTGGTGGAAGCAGCTACTCTCCTGGACTCCTCCTTCCCAAATAAATCTCTTTCTCAAAAGAGTTTTGGGTCTGGCATAGAGAAGATCCCTCAGTACTGAGATGTCCTTCAGTTGACAGAGCAAAGAGGAACTGAACAAAAAATCCTTGCTGAGATGTTCCTCAGTGGACAGAGCAAGGAGGAGCTGAGCAGAAAATCCTTGCTGAGACTTCACTCACTGGACAGAGCAAGAGAGCTCAAAAAAGTAACACTTTTCTCTGGAGCGGAGGAGATTGCTACATTTCTGCAGGAGTTTCCCCTGTTGCAGAGTAAAGCAAAAGAAGCAACATCTTAGGCCAGAGAAGCAGAGCTCTGCTAGGAAGCCCCGTTAAGTGGAGGCTGAGGTGACCTCAGCTGTAGAGGCTCTCCAGGTGGAGAGGAGCAGGATTGCTATATTCTGCAGGGAGACCATTCCCCATCACACCAGGTATAGCCTGACTCTTCTGAACAGTCAGGATACCCTTCCCTGCAGAGCTGTCCTGGCAGCTCCAAGCCTGACTTTCTCGAGCAGTCAGGATACCCATGCCTGGTGAGGCAGTTACAGGCCTTACTCTCCCAAGCAGCCAGGACAGAGCTGTCCTAAGCAGCTCAAGGTATCTGGAATACCTCCAGGGCAGAGTTGCCCTAAGCAGCTCAAGGTATCTGGGATATCTAGCCCTTCAGCCATCAGAGTGGTCCTAAGTGGCTTGTGGCTTCCAGGATACCTTGCTCTTTAGCTGTCAGCTGTTCTAAGCCACTACCTCGCCCTCCAGGGCTGTTGTCTCATCACAGCTCCAGCTGTCACCTGATTCCCAAGTGGTCAGGATACCCCTTCCCAGAGTTGCAAAACTCATGTTTTGGTGCCAAAGTCTGGGACCAAACCCACATAGTTGCAACAAATTTACTTACATTGCTCTCTGAGAAGAGTTTCTCTTCAGGTAGTCACTGGCAGGCTTAATACAGACTATCAATTTGGACTTTGGTAGTGCTGAGTTGTGTCTACCAGGGAACTGCTTCACCCACAGTGGGTGGGTCTTCCCACCACAATCAACATCATCAAAATAATCCCCCATAGGTATATTTAAAGGCTGCTGCCTAGGAAATTCCAAATTCTGTGAAGTTGACAACATTGCCTTATGTGTCATCTAAGTTACAGTTTAGGATGCAGAGTTTTATTTAAAAATTGTGATTTGGGTCCAAATGATTATTTGTAGTTAATAAAATACACACACATTAAAAATTAGGATTTTAATGGCACAATATAGCTTTGTGATGTCACATGTCCAAAATATGATAAAACAAGATGACACAATGCAGCATTGTGATGGCACAATATATTATCTTGGTGGCAAAAGGAAGTATTATAGTGTGAAAGTTAAGCAATGTGATGATTACAAATTTGAGAACTGTGATAACAAAATGGAGTACTGTGATATCACAATTCAGTATTGGAATGACACAATGGAACTTGATACCATGACAATTTAGTACTGTGATGCTAAATTCAGCATTGTAGTGTCACAATGAAGCACTGTTTTTTTTGTTTTGTTTTTTTTTATAATTCAGGCTTATGATGCCACAATATTGTACTGTGCTATCACAGTGCAGCAGTGTGATGGCAAACTGATTTTCCTGATGACAAGAGCAAAATACTGAATTATGATATCATAGTGTAGCATTGTTAAAGGATTGTTGATCATTGTGATGAAGAGCTTTGCTGGCAAATTATACTATTGTAATGGCAAAATGCAGCATTTTTTTTTAATCACAATGGAGTATGTCACAATTTGGTAATGTAATGGTGCATGGAGCATGTTAATGTCATAATTGAGCATTTTGATGGCAAAGTGGATAATTTGATAATAGATTATAGTATAGTGATGACAAGAAAGAAGCACTGTGATATCACAATTCAGCACTGTAGTGATAAAATGGAGAACTGTGTGACATCATGCAGTACTGTGATGACAAAATAAATTTTTGTAATGGCACAATACAATATTGTGATATAGTAATTTAGCATTGTGATATTATCCTGCATAGTGATGGCACAGTAGAGCTATTTGATGACTTATGACCGTATTATAATACCAAATTTCAGAAATGTGTTGTTTTAGTTCAGCATTTTGATAGCACAGTGGAGCACTGTTGACACATTATTTTATTGTATTGTCACAACACAACATCATGATGCCAAAATTGAGCATATGAGTGTCCAATAGAGGTCAGTTATCATAATTCAGGATGTGGTGATACAATGGAACATTCTCATATCACAATAGAGTACCGTGATGGCACATTGAAGCACTGTGATGACACAATGGAGCACTATGAATACACACTGTTTTGATCAGATGCTGGTGCCTTGTAAGCTAATGGAGTATTGAGATGATAATGAGCATTGTGTCGAATTACACAGTTGTGCTGGAACAATACAGCACTGTGATGACACACTACAGCATTGTGCTTGCACAACTGAGTACTTCAGTGTTACAATTCAGCATACTAGATACAATGGTGCTTCATGATATCACAAGACCACATTGTTGTACAACTACCCATAGCACAAACTTTAGCCATTGCAATAACTGTAATCTTAGCCTAGCCTTAATCCTATCCCTAGCTCTATCTCTAAACACAATCATAACTGTATTAACAAACCCTAATACTATCTCAGACTTAACTGCAATCCTTTATTATCCATGACACTAATCCTCTCCTAGCTCCAGTCCTACACCTAACCCTGACTTTAAGCTGAAATTTAATTATAATATAGAACATAAATTTACCAAGACCAACATCACAATGTTAACTTTAGCCTTAACCTCAACCCTAATCCTAACCTTAACTTAAACATAACCCACAACTAACACTTACCCTAATTATATATCTAGACCCAGCACTAAAACTAACCCAAACCTCATCCTAAACATTACACTAATCTTATCCCTCTTCCTAATCTAACCTTAATCCAAACCCTAATTGTAACTATAGTGTATCCCTAAGGCTAACAATAGCACTCACTCTAAGCCCAAACCATAATAAGTTATAACCATAAATCTAACCCTAAACCTAACTCTAGGCAACATCGAATCATAACTCTAACCTCAAACTAACATGACAGAGAATATTAATGTGGTATTTTAAATGAAAATGGCCCCAATAGGATCATATGTTTGAATAATTGGTCCCCAGTTGGTAGAATTATTTAAGAATAATTAGTGGTGTGGCCTTGTTGAAGGAGGTGTGTCACTAGGGGTGGGCTTTGAGATTTCAAGAGACTCTAGCCATTCTGATTGTCTATCTCTACCTACTTGAGGATCAAGATGTAGGCTCTCAACTGTTCCTAGACCATGTCTTTGCTCTGCCATCATGGACTCTAATCCTCTGAAACTGTAGCCCCCAAATTAAATGCTTTCTTCTATAATTTTCCTTGGAAATGAGATTTATCACAGCTATAGAATAGTAACCCTAACTATAAACATGACCCAAATCTAACACTAGCTGGGCTAGATAGGTTTTGTCAACTTGAAACAAGTAGAGATATATCTGGAAAGATTGAATCTCAACTAAGAAATTGCTTCCATTCGATTGCTATGTGGACATGTCTGTGGATAATTTTATTGATTCATGGTTGTAGTTAGAAAGCCAGAACACTACAGGAAGTACAATCCCTGAGCAGGTGGTTCTGGGTTGTATAAGAAAGCAAGCAGAAAAATCCATGGAGAGAGCCAACCATAACAAAACCCTAATCTTAACCCTAGCCTTAAAACAAAACCTCATTCCATTCCTAACAGAACCTTGTCAACCTAAACTTAACCTATAGTCTAGCACTAACACTACCCCAAGCATAACCATAGCAATGGCCTAGTCTTATCTGCGACCCTTATCCTGTTAACACTATCCCTAAAACTATTCCTAACCTTAACTTTCAGCCTAACCCTAACAGTAACACTAACATTGCATAAAGTCTCACTCTATCCTTTACCCTGACACGAACCTAACCCTATACCTAATTACAAATCTATAATTCTAACATTAGCCTAGCCCTAACCCTAATTCTAATTCTAATTCTAATCATAACCTTAAAAGTATTCCTAACTTTAACAACAAACCCAAGTTTAACCTGTAATCTTATTTCTAACATAAATTTAACCCCTCACCCTAAACTAACCCAGGAACTAACCCTAACATTCACCTAGATCTCAATGTCATTACAATTCCAACTCAGTACCTAATATTAACCCCCATGTTAACCTTAACATTAGCTATATATATGTATGGAATTTTATTGGAATTTCTTGGAATGTCCTAGAGGCAATTCATTAATGCAATAATGACTAGCTATGTACAGAAAGTCCAAGAATTTGGTAGCTACTCAGTCACACAAGGCTGGGTATCTCAGCTGGTCTTCTGTATATGCTGGAATCCCAAAGAAGTAGGCTCCAATGCAAGTGAAGGAATGGATGTGTTAGAAATGCAAGGGCAAGCAGGAAAACAGCAAAACCTTCCTTCTTCCTTAATTAGGCTTCCAGCAGAGGGGGTGACCCAGATTAAAGGTGTATCATCCTGCTTCAAGATCTGGATTAAAGTATCTTCCCACCTTAACATCCAAATCAAAAGCCTATGTCTTCGTGCATCAATATTCTGATCAAAGGCATGTTGTTTTCCCACCTCAATATCTGGATCAGAGATGTGTCCTCTTACCTTAAAGGTTTGGACTAAAAGTAGAATCACCCACTTTAAACAAAACAGAGTATCTCTCACAGGTGTGCCCTCCATTTCTGGATTGTAGTTCCTTCCAGATACAGTCAAGTTGACAACCTAGAATAGCCATCACAAGTAGTCACACAAATCCTAACCTAATCATATCACCAAACTTAGTCTTAACCCTAATTCTAACATTAACAATAAACCATAGCTCTAACCATCAATTAAGCTCTACTCCTCCTGTCAACAATAATCTGAGCCCTATTCACATATGTACCCCTAGAGGCCAGAAAAGGGTGTCACCTTCCCTGGTATTGGAGATAGAGTTGGTTATAAGCCACCATGTGGGTGCTGTGACCTCTACAAGAGCAGCAGTGCTCTTCTTAATTCTTCGGTATTTTTATTGTTCAGTATTGGTTTAGTTATTCAGGGCCTTTTATGTTTCCATATTAATTTTAAGAACATTTTTCTATTTGTGTAAAGAATAGCATTTGACATTTTATTGGGATTGCCTTGAATATGTATTGTTTTGGAAGGATAGCTATTCTTACAATAGTAATTCTTCTGATCCATGAACACAGGAGGTCTTTTCATCTTCTTGTACCTTCTTTGATCACTTTGGTTTAAAGTTTTCATTGTAAAGCTCTTTTGCAACTTTAGGTTTATTCCAAGGTTTTTGTTCTTGTTTAAAGATTAGAGTACATGGGACTGTTTCCTTGATATCTTTCTCAGTATATTTGCTACTGGTGTATACATAGTAAGGCTCTTAATTTTTATGTATTAATTTTATATTCTGTCAATTTGATGAAAGTGTTTGTCAATTTTAAGTTTCCTGATAGATGGTTTAGGGTTTACATATATCACCTGCAAATTATGTTTTGTCTTTTTACACTTGCATCCTATACGTCTCGTCCTACAGCTCTAAGAATCAAGAACTGTTTTGAGTGGAAAAACACCCTTGTCTTGTTCCTGATTTTTGTGGAAATGTTTTAGTTTTCTAATGTTGGCCATAGGCTTATCTTATGGAGGAAATATTTTATCTTCTCAGAAAGCCTTTTCTGCATCTATTGAGATGACCATGATTTCCATCCTTGAATCTATTTATACAACATTAAATAACAGACTTATAATGAACCATGTCTGCATTCATCTCATCTTAGTTTAATTTTGTTAGGCCATATGCATCTAGAATTTCAGCAGTTTTCTTTAGATTTTCCAGTTCTATAGAATACATCTTTAAGGTATAAACTAATGATCTTCTCTATTTCATTGGTGTATATCTGATGACTCTCTGTTCATCTCTAATTTTATCAATTTGGGTTCTCTCTGTCCTTTTCCCAGATTTGTCTATGGGGTTGCCAACCTTGCTTATCTTTTCAAAGAACTGGTATGTTCTACTTTCACTCTCTTGCTGTGATAAAACACTCTGACAAAAAGCAACTTGGGAAGAAAAGAGTTTATTTCACCTTGCACTCCTAGGTCACAATCCATCATTGAGGGAACTCACAGTGGGAAATCAAACAAAAACCATGGAGGAATACTGATTGCTGGCTTGCTATCTGCTTCACTCTTGCTCATTTTCAGCTACCTTCTTATAAAGCCCAGGTTCACCTGCCTAGGGATGGTATCGTGCACAGTGGGCTAGGCCATCCCACATCCAATTTTAGTAACTAAGATCTGGTATGGGAGGGAAACAGGGTTGGTGAGGAAGTGGGAAAAGCAGCTGGGAAGGAAAACTTGGGATATTATTACAAGTCCAGTGGATATAGTCTATAAATGATTGGAAGGTTATAAAGTTTTTTATGTGTGTATGCCTATGTGAGCTTGTGAGCACCACACGAGTGCAGATGCCCATGAAGGTCAGAGGTATAACTGTAGATGTTTATAAAGGAAAAAAGGGGGCTGGAGAGGTGACTCAGTGGTTAATCATATTTGTTGCTTTTGTAGAGGACTTAGGTTTGGTTCCCAGCACCCACATAACCACTAACAACTCTGTGGAAATTCCACTTCTAGAGAATATGATGTGCTCTTCAGGTCTCTACAGGCACCATGTCTGTGGTACAAACATGCAGGCAAACACAAGATTTTTTCTTTTAAGTACAAAAGAGGATGGGTAAAGTATGAAGGAGGAAATGACATGCACATATGAAGGGATAAGATGTAGGTGAAGTAGAGTAGGGAGTCCCTGGGTGAAGATACATAGAACAATCCTAGAACCTAACAAAATACTGTGTAAACAAAAGCACTGAGACATACATGCAAAAAGAGATCGAATAATAGATTTTTAAAAATATTTATGGAATGAAATTGCTGACACAATTTCAGTTGCAGAGTTGAAAACCAGTTCTTAGATACTTCTGGTTCTAGTAAGGTACACATGGTGCTGTGTGGGAGAGGGGTAAATGAGAGCCACTGGGCTTTTTAGCCTATATTCTGGCATATGCGGGAAGAGGAATTTGTAAGACCTTTCTCTCAGAACTCCATTTTGACCTCCTCAGATCCTGCAGGTCCCATGTATGTAGAGCAGTACATCCCATGCAGTTTTTATTGCTCTCTGAGGCTTGATTCTGCCTGTTTTCCTGTAGAGATCTTCCCAGGCTTAATAAGTTTATAGGTCCTGCTTCTTGTAGGAAAGGAGACTGTCTATTTTCTTGAGCTTCAGTGGTGAGGCTTCTCACAGTGTTACATTATGATATGAATGAGCATTGGACTGGACAGTGGAATATTGTGACAGCATAGTAGAACACTGTGATGGATAAAGTGAAGAATTGTGACAGGTACAGAGAATTGTGATCAGACAGTGGAGCACTGTTATTAGAACAGGATTGTGACAGGATACTGGAACAATCTGATGGAACCTAAGAACATTATGATGGGATGGGGGACATTATGACAGGGCAGGTGAGCATTGTAATGGAATATAACAGAACAGTGGTACACTGTGATAGGGAGGGTAGAGAATTTGAGAGAACACAAAAGTGTTGTGATAGAACAAAAGAAAATATGAAGAAACATTGTGACAGAACATGAGTATTGTGGTTGAGTACAGTCGTAGAGACTGATTTTAGATCAATGTAATATTGTGATGAGACAATGAAACATTGTGATGAGTACAGAGGTACATTGTGAGAGAAAAATGGACCATGATAGGATAGAGAAATACTGTGATTGGACAGCTGAGAAATGCAATAGTATAAAGGATTATGATGAGAACTGAAATTGAGGTGCGTAAGTAGACATTTACTGAACACCGCAATAGAAAAGAGAAGCACTATGATTGAATAGCAAAATATTGACAGAACAATGGAACACTGTAATGACACTGCAGCACTCTGATATGACAGAAAGCATTAGGACCAGAGAGAGGAGCATTGTGACAATACTTCTAAATGTATGGAAAAAAACCATTGTGATTGTTTGATTGGCCAGTACAACACTGTGACGGACAAAGAAGCATGTTGACAGGACAGTGAAGCATTACACTGGGACAGGAGAGGACTGACATGAACCACTTGGCTAGACATGGTGGCACACATTGTCAAGCCGAGCACTAAGGATGTATGAGAGTCTGAGGCCAGCCTGGTCTATATATCAAGTTCCAGACTATCCAGGACTACATATTGAGACACATTTCAAAAGCAAAAACAAAGTATGATAAATAAAGCATGAAAACAGGATGAAAGAGCACTAATTGTGAAACAATAACATACTGTTATAGAACAATGGATATTGAGATGAAATAATGAATAGTGTTGTGATATCACAGTGGTACATTGTGATAGCACAGAAGAGTATAGTGGCAAACAAACAACAACAACAACAAAAAAGGATGAGCATTATATTACCACAATATAGCACTGTTACAGGGCAATGAGGTACTACTGTTCTACTGTTTGGGAGTACTAGAGCATTATGATGGGACAGATGAGCCTTGTTGATGGGACAGTGGGCACTTGAGACATGACAGTGGAACCTGGTGATGAAGCAGAGGAACACTGTGTTGAAAAGAGTGGAGTACTGTAACAGTACTATAGAGTGCTGTGGTGGGAAATGTGGAACACTGTGATAGAACAACTGAGCGTTTTGACTAGTACATTGGTATATAATAGAAAAACTGGACACTGATGGATAGAAGAGCACTATGATTGAACTATAAAGCACTGTGATAGAACAATGGAGAATTGAGATAGCAGAGTGGAGAGTGATGATGTAACTGTTACATCTTGATGAATCAAAAGAATATGATAGACAGAAAATTTCAAAAACAGATAAGCATTATGATGGGGAACACTAGAATGGAATAGAGGAGCACTGTGGTAAGATAGAGAAGGTATGTGATGGGACAATGGATCACTATGTAGAAAAGTGGGGTACTACTGTATTAGGACAGAGGATCACTGTTAAGGGCACAGCTTAGTGTTTTATAATCACTATGGAATGTGTTACTAAGTGAGATTTACCTCACACTTAACTTCTCTCATTAGGCAGACAAAGCAAACAATCTTAGGCCTCTGAAACACTCTCTTTAGTCCAGACCTAATACAGGCCTCTTCCCACAGTGGCCATTTACCTACGAAGTCCTAAGGAAAGTATATTTCTGAGACACTAAGTTTTGAGGCAACATGACACATTAGAAATGACTTGAGTACTAAAAAGAAAAAAAAAATGTTACTTTTCTGAATTTTCCATGCTCTCTAACACACTTCTTTTCATTTAAAAGTTTCTAAACATAAAGAAGGTGTCTGTGAACAGACACCATAACCAAGGCAACTCTTATAAAGGAAAACATTTAATTGAGGCTGGCTTACAGCTTCTGGGGTTTACACCATTATCGTCATGGTGGGAAGTATGGCAGCACGCAGGCAGACATGGTACTGAAAGAGCTGAGAGTTCTACATCTAGATCAGCAGGCAGCAGGAAGTGAAATGTCACAATTGACCTGGCTTGAGCATTTGAGACCTCAAAGCCCAGACCCTAGTGACACACTTCTCCAACAAGTCAACCTCCTAACAGTGCCATTTTTATTTAAACCACCACAGAAAGTCTGTTTGAAAGGCAAAATATGTTGCTGCTTCACACTAATCTTTAAATATATCCTAAACCTAATCTTAATCTCTTACCCTAATGCTGTCTCTATTGACAACCTACGTTAATGTTCACTATTACTCTTAACATCCAAAATCTTAACACTAATCATATCCTCAATCCTACTCAACTACCAACACTATCACTACCCTAAACATAACCTAACTCTGATCCCAACCCAAACCCTAATGATATACAACACTGTACCTCATGTTCATCCACATTTAAAATTAATCTTAACCATATTCCAAACATTAATCCATAATGCAAAAACCTAACCTAAGATTTAAACCCCTAACCCTTGTACCCAATCTTTAGCCCCACCACTATGACATCCTAATCCATAACAATAAAAACTTTAATCCTTATATGAAACTTAATTTCTACTCCTCTAAACCTAACCCTAATCTTTAATCTTAACTCTAACCCTCTCTGTGCTCTGATCTACAAACAGAACAAAACAGAATATGCAGTGTTAGCATGGCAGAAGCAAAATTTTATCTGCCAGCTTTTCACAGTATGTGAATCAGCTTCTGGCTATATTGCTTCTCTTTACATATACAGACAAAAAAAATAATTGTAACTTAAAGTATTTTTTAAAAGAAGTCTATTTAAAAACAATTCTTTAGTTAAAAACTTTACCATTTATTAAAGATGAAAGCAAATTTTCATACTAATTGAGGTGAGATGCTTATTTTAAATCAATTATTAAATCTTACCTGAATGTGGCACTAGCCTTTAATCTCAACACTCAGGAGGCAGAGGCAGGTGAATCTCTGAATTCAAGGCCAGTCTCGTCTAACATACTGAGTTCCAACCAGTCAGGGTTACACAGTGAGACCTTATCTCAAAAAAAAGAGGGGAGGGGGATAGATAAATAAATCTTAGCTGAATATCTGAGAATACAAAATATAGAGAATCAGTATTTTCTAGAGTTGAATCATAATTGCTAAATACCCTTCACATAAATTAGTACAAAATGGCAAAAGTACATTTAGGACCATTTCATAAACTATTGGATAATCTAAAACTCAAATTCACTAAACAATCTTTATAAAATACATTTTGGTAAATTAGAAAACATTTTTTTAAAAAAAAATCAAGCTTTTTAACACAATGTAATCCAAAGGTAAACCAATTTCTTACTTGCAAACTGATGTGACTAGGAAAGTATAATAAAAATTTTAAATTTGCAAAGTGAAAAAGTTATGAGCTAATTCACTGAGGACAGTATTTTATAAATAATAAAATCTTAAGTCTACAGTGTTTATAATGTTAATAGTAGTAATATTAGCTGATAGTAATGTCCTTAACATTTACTAAAGTACAACTCACTGACACCCAGAGCAACATCTAGTCCTTAAGACTCCAATCACAATACGGAGCCTTCATAAGTGTAGTACTTATACCATTATTCTTTCATATATTTACACCAAATATTTTCAGTTTCCTAAATAATTACTGCTACCCCTGCCTAAAACAATCAGTATAATATATACTGCATGTTTGCAGTAGTGTGGGGGAGATTATACTATATTTGTGATAGTTGATATTATCATCTTAAGACCTAGAATCACCTGGGAGATGAGCTTCTGAGCTTGCTGTAAGGGATTTGAGACAGGAGGACCCACCCTGAAGGAGGTTCTAGCCAATAAAAGGGAGAAAGCTGGGAAGTCATGAGTACTCTTCAGTCTTTGCTTGACTGCACATACAGTGAGACAGGCTCCAAAATGCTCCTCCTGCTGAGACTTCTGTGCCATTGTTAGACTGAGACACAACTCAACCTCTGAACCAACAGAAACTCTTACTAGCTTGTTTAGTTGGAATATTTTATCACAGCATCAGGAAAAGCAACAGCACACAATGATCTTCAGTTATGAAATTGCTTAAACTATATATCACAAACTACCTCTATTGTTGGAAGACTATTAATTTTTACCTCAATGTAAGCCTCTAAAAGAAATGGCAACTCATTCTTTTAGGACATTCTTATTCTTTTGATAAGAGTACTGGGGACTGAACTTATAGTTTCATGTGTGCCCAGCAAGTATTCTACCTAACGAACATTTCCAGTACTCTTCAGCTTCTGATTGCAGAACAGGGCAAGTCCTGAACTTGCAATTCTCCCCCATCAGCCACCTAAGTAGCTAGCACTACAGGTTTGCACCACCAAGTCTTTCTAGGACCATTATTAAATGCAAATTCCTTATAAACACAATATAGTCATAACCTATATAACATTACATTCATGTTATAAAAATCTGAACATTATAGGTTAATTTTCATCAGGATTTCAAAATACTTAAAATTTACTTCTAGTAGTCTTCATGACTTTTACTGTTAAAATTTTACAAGCTTTACTTTTCAAACTAGTTTCAACCCAACATCCATTCTTATAAAAGCTATCTGTTTGCATTACCAAAGAGGACATATGAAAAATTAGGTATCCTCACATTACATTCTTAAGGTGTTCCATCAAAGGTGTCCAAGTTTTCAAATGGAATTGAACATCTTTGTTTTGTTTTCTAAGACAGGGTTTTTCTGTGTATCCCTGGCCAGTGTGGAACTCCCATATCTGCCTGCCTCTGCCTCCACAGTACTACGATTAAAGGCATGCACTACCATGCCCAGCTTGGAACTGAACATCTTAACATATATTGCTGATAGGTCTTTCTCCATAAGTCTATGGTTTAAAAACAAAAACTGAAGCTTTCACCTCATTTTATACTACCAGACTTTTTTCTCAGGAGTATTTTCAAACATTAGAAGGAAATTAGAAAGTCTACAAGTTTTTGCACTGTTCAGATTCATGGGGCTTTTTCTCCAGCATGAGTTTTTCCATGTCTTTGAAGGGACCGGTGACATCTAAAGGCCTTACCACACTGTTTACATTCATATGGTTTTTCATGACTATGAGTTCTTTCATGTCTCTGAAGGGAGCTGTGACATCTGAAAGTTTTGCCACATTGTTTACACTCAAAGGGTTTTTCTCCAGTATGGATTCTTTCATGTACTTGAAGAGAAGGGAGACGCCAGAAGGCTTTACCACAGTGTTGACATTCATAAGGTTTTTCCTCAGAATGAGTTCTTTCATGTAATCGAAGGGAGCTCTGTACTCTGAAGGCCTTACCACATTGTTTACATCCATAAGGTTTTTCTCCAGTATGTGTTCTTTCATGTCTTTGAAGAAATGAGGGATAAATGAAGGTTTTACCACATACCTTACATTCATAGCGTTTCTCTGCAGAATGAGACCTTTCATGCATTTGAAGTAAATATCGAGAAACAAAGGACTTGCCACACTGCTTACATTCAGATGGATTTCCTTCAGCTTTCTTTCCTTCATGTATATTACTAAGACTGAAAACTTTACCACGTTGCTTGCATTCATAAGGTTTCTCATTACTGTGAGATATTTCATGCACTCGAAGACTACTAAGGATTGTGAAGGTTTTACCACATTGTTTACATTCATGTGATTTCTCCCCAGTGTGGATTCTTTCGTGTAGCTGAAGGGAACTTGAACAATCGAGAATTTTACCACATTGCTTATTTTCATAAGCTTTTTCTTCAGTATGGGTCTTTTCAGGTACTTGAAAATAACTGAGTTTTCTGACGGTTTTATCAAACTGCAGACATGCATAGGGTTTTTCTCTAGTATGAGTTAGTTCATGTAACTGGAGGGCACTGGGACAACTGAGACTTTTATCACACTGTTTACATGTATACAGTTTTTCTTCAGTGTGAGTTCTTTTATGTATGTGAACATAAGTGAGACTTCTAAATGCTTTACCACACTGCTTACATTCATAGGGTTTTCTATCAGTATGAGTTCTTAAATGCCTCTCAAGTAAACAAGGAAAAATGAAGGACTGACTACATTGTTTACATGCATATTTACATGCATACTGTTTTTCTCCATTATGAATCTTTTCATGTCTTTCCAGGGAAGAGAGATAAAAAAAGGCTTTACTACATAGCTTACATTTATAGGGCTTTTCTACAATATGAGATCTTTCATGTACTTGGAAGGTACTCCAATCCCTGAAGATTTTACTACATTGCTTACATTCAAAGGGCTTTTGCTCAGTGTGAGCTCGTTCATGTCTTTGAAGGAAAGGAGGACATAAAAATGCTTTACTACACACCTTACATTTATAAGGTTTCTCTACAGTATGAGCCCTTGCATGCAATCGAAGGGAACTGTGACTTCCAAAGGATTTACCACACTGTTTACATGTATAGGGTTTTCCCCAAGTATGAGTTCTTTTATGTCTTTGAAGAAGAGGGGAACAAAGGAAGGCTTTACTGCACAGCTTACATTTATATGGTTTCTCTCCAGTGTGAAACCTTTCATGTGTCTGAAGTAAATATAGGTAAGTGAAGAACTTACCACACTGTTTACATGCATAAGTTTTTTTCCTAGGATGAGCTATTTTATGTCTTTGAAGGGAACAGTGACTTCTGAAAGCTTTACCGCACTGTTTACAGTCATAACATTTTTCAGCATTATGGGTTCTTTCATGCATTCGAAGGTAACTTTGACATTTGAAAGCTTTACCACACTGTTTACATACATAAAGTTTTTCTGCATTATGAATCCTTTCATGAAATCGAAGAGAACTTAGAGAACAGAGGGTTTTCCCACATTGTTTACATTCATAGGGGTTTTCTTCAATATGAAAAATTTCATGTAATTGAAGATAATTGTGACATCTGAAAGCTTTCCCACATTGTTTACATTCATAGGGTTTCCCTCCAATATGAGTTAATTTGTGTAATCGAAATGAACTTTGATGTCTAAAGGATTTTCCACATTGTTCACATTCATAGGGTCTTTCTCCAGTATGAACTCTTTTATGAGTTTGAAGGGAACTAGAAGAACTCAGAGCTTTACCACATTGTGTACATTCATAACATTTGTCTTCAGTGTTGGTTCTTCCATCTACAGAAAATGAACAGGTGCAAACGAAGGCCATCCCACATTGCTTACAGGATTTTTCACAACTATGACTTTGCTGCTGTATTCCAAATGAACCTGGAAAACAAAAAAAATTTTTAAAACATTCCACTTTTATAAGGTACCTGTGTATCGTTGAATATCTGTGAGTTCAAGGTTTCCCTACATTGTTTACATTTATAATGCTTCTTACCATATTTGTGATCAGATGGTTTGTCCCCCAAGTGAGACATGATGTGCTCATTAAAGGATGAATGACAAATGAAGACTTTTCCACACACACCACATTCAAATGGTTTTATTCCAGTAGAAATGTTCATACTTCTATGGAGATTTGGTATCCAGGTAAAGGTTTCTTGAAACTGACCACCTTCTTTATGTTCATAGACTGCATCTACCATATAATTTCTGTAAAAAAAAAAAATACGTAAAGTATAAAAATGTTAGCAATGGCTGCTTCACCAATGACTCTCTAGTCTTAGACTTACATTATTCATAAAAATCAGTGTATGCTTTTGCCATTTCAATAGTTTCAAACAAAATGGACTGATGATTCTACAACATGCTCCTAAAGAGCTACTATCAAAACAGCCCCCACAGGCTGGAGAGATGGCTCATCAGTTAAGACAATTGGCTGCTCTTCCAGAAGTCCTCAGTTCAATTTCCAACACCCAGGTGGTAACTTACAACTGCCTATACCTGTAGTCCCATGGCATCCAATACTTTCTTTTGGTGTGCAGATGTACATGCAGACAAAATAACCACATAAATGAAATATATAAATAAATCTTTATATATGTGTATGTGTGTTGTCTAAGTACTGTTTCCAAGTGAACTGTTTTTTCAAATATATAACACTAAAGTATGTATTTTCTGGTGAAATGTTTCTAATGTAAGTAAATTTTAAAGATCTGGCTTTTTTTTTATTTAAAATTTCACTATTATTTATTTTATGTGCATGGATGTTTCGCCTATATGTATGTCTGTATACCATAATGGATGCCCTGGAAGTGTAGTAACAGATGGTAGGTGTGGGGACTAGAACCTGGATCCTCCAGTGTTCTTAAACAATGAGCCCTCCCTCCAGCTACTTTTGGTTTTGGTTTTGTTCGTAAATTTTCGTAACACATTAAGAGTTTTTCAAGGAAAACTTTCTTCCACTTGTATATGTCAATTACCTTAGATATCTCCAAGAATGTCTGCACTGTTCTTCAATATTCTGGTTTTCCCATTTGATGCCTAAAAAGTAGACCCAGAAAAATAAAAAAAATATTAGAAGTTACAGAAAAATGAGTTTCTGGGTTTGATGTACACTGGACCCATACCTGTTTATTCACTGATTTCTTCCCTTTTCAAATTCCAAATCATAAAACCAAGGAACACTTGTTCATTGACAAAATAAACGGTACCATTTTTACCTATAAAAGTAAGGTTACTGCAGGTTTCCAGCATCACATCTCTGTATAGCTTCTTCTGAGAAGGATCCAGCAAAATCCATTCTTCCTGGCTGAACTTCACTGCCACATCCTCAAAGGCCAAAAAATCCTAAAACATCCCAAATATATACAGAAACGAACAAATGAGACTAACAGATCTAGAGATTTAAACTCAATTGATAAGATGTCCATATAATTTTGTGGTATTCAGGAACTTATTCAATCAAACTGAAATTCTAGTGCTAGCCCTGAGATATTAAGAAAGGAGACAGCAACAGAGAGTTCTAGATCATCCAGGACTATACTATGAGACTCTGACTCTTGGGGAGGGGGAGGATTAAAGAAAAAGAAACTGCAAGGTAGGAACACTCCTCATTACTGTGCCTGGGAATTGAATGTGCTGCTAGGCCACCCCATTTTTTATTTCTAGAGTGGATTTACGGTATTAGTAATAACAAGAGTTCTGCCAAATGCTGTTCAGAAGAGAGCTAATGTTAGCAGTCAAGATATTGCTTTTACTTATATAGTTCTACACACAAAGTGTGGGCTTTACTGGTATTGTGGAAACTAAGATTCTGGGAGACATCCCACTAACATAAATGATAACAACAGTTCTCTTATCCTAAATGACTTACATAAACACAGAAATTTTCTGAACACTAGCTTTCTGAATGTTCTATACACACAGAGTTACCAAGAGAATCAGCCCCTGAACCCAATGATCTGGGCAATAAGGCTACTGAGTTTTTCTGGTAGACAACAGTTCATATATATTGTCATTTGTTAAGTGGGGAAACTGAGCCCATCCTGTGTGATTACACCAAGAGAAAACATTTAGAAGCCTCAAAGGTAATTTATACCATGCAGAATTTAACACAGCTAGAATAATTGATGCTCCTAACAAAAAAAATAACATGAAACAATTAGATGGCACATGTTTTTACAAAGAATACAATGTAGTCAGATATGTTGACATGTGCTTACAGTCCCAGCTACTTGGGAGATTAGTATCGAGGAGTCACCTGCGTGGAGGAATTCAAAGCCAGCCCTATTTCAAGGCTCCCATTTCAGGAGGGAAGGAGATAGTAAAGGGTGAAAGGGAGAGGAAAGAGAAGTGTTACCAAAATGTCACGTCTTTTGGATTATACCTTTACAAAATCAAAGGAAATTTAAAAACTCACTTATTAGCAGTCACCAATAATTAATTTTCCAGCTTTCTCCTAATCCAAGTGTTTAGCAATTGTCAGCCTTCTAAACAGTAAAGTGATGGCTTGCCTTGCATATGCCAAAGACTTTCAAACTACTCTGTAGACACAAAGGGCCAAAAACAAAAGCAGATTTCCACACTTTGGAGATTTAGTGGCACATTATAAAAAAATGTACAGCTTAAAGAAAAAAAACCAAACTGCAAAATTTACCACTCTACAAGATAAGATATTCACATATCCTCCCAGATATGGACCACATAATATAAAACCAAGTCACTTTCCCTTAACCGTTATGAAAAGAACTCCTTCACCCTCTCAGCTACACAACTCCCTCTGTGGGCTTATTGCTTCCTTTTGTATTTCAATAAACTCTTTGTCTATGCATGTCTTAAGGTAATCCTTTTGATTGACTGTTATTGGCTTCTTATGCTCTTTCACCCAGCATTTCGATGGCTTACAAAGGGACTCTTTTGTTACCTCTGGTGCTTGTGGTGGTCAGCTAAAGGTATCTGATTTAGGAGACTCTCAAACAAGGTCCTTTAAGCTTCAGCCCAGACTATCTCCCATCACAGGACAAGCTAAGGAAGTCCTTTTGGGCCCTTGCAAAAAGAAATGCTTCCCATTCACAACTGATAGGAACAGGCCAAAGGAATTTTTTGTTGGTATTTCATGGGGGAGGAGGGAAGACAGCTAACTGTAGTCTACAATTTTAAGGGACTTTATTTCTCTTGTTCTGACAACTGCCTCTCTCTCCATCTGTAAGTCTCCCACAACTCTTCCCCCTAACCCAGATACACTCTCCTTCCACATATTCTCCTAAGAGTTTGACATAGAGAACTCAGGAAGCAAATAAAAGCTACACTCTAACCCTCAGAAAATATTCTTTGTGCTGGGTGTGGTGGTACATACCTTTAATCCCTGTATTAAAGAGGCAGAGCTAGACCCATCTCTGAATTTGAGTCAATATAGCAAGTTCCAGGCCAAAACTAAATGGTGAGACCCTGTCTCCAAAATCAAATCTATATATTGCTCGTGAGGTGGCTAGGGGGGACCTCAGCACCATCTAGGCGTATGTCTCTTTCCCCATCTGATATGCCCCAAATCTAACAACTATGATCAATTTGCCCAAAATTCCTATCTTCATTAAGGAATTCAAAGGGCTAATTGTAGTTTTTTAACCTAATCTAGACATTATATCTACAACATTTTATTTTTTTAATTATTTTTATATGTTTGCCTACACTCACGTATGTGCACCATATGCATGCCTGGTGCCCATGGAGAACATAACTGGAAACTAGATCCCCTTGGACTGGAGTTGTAGATGGTTATGAGCCTCCATGTGAGTGCTAGCAATGAAACCTGAGTCCTCTCGAAGAGCAGCCAGTGCTCCCAACTGATGAACCATCTCTCCAGTCCCTATTTATATCATTCTAACCACTTGCTATATGCGTACAAGAGGTTTCATACCTACATTTTATCAGGCAGCTGAGTCGATGAGAGCCATAGTCTTAACCCTGATAATAGAGAAGACATGTTCCTTTACAGTCCTTGACAGGAAACCCAAATAATTGTATCAGAACTCCTACTTGAGAGACAATGGGGAAAAGGACCCTCAGGAATATATGATTCCCTGTGTCTTAGAAAGAAAAGGCTGCTATCAACTCCATTAACAATGCCATGTTATGGAACATAACAAAGGAACTGTCCAAGAACCCTGTTCTTTTTCATTTTAATACAGGTTGGTTGAAATCATGCACCAATACACTAATCTGGACTCTTAAGAGACAAGAGAGCCAAAGGCAACCTACCTGTAAATTTTATAAAACTTCTTCAGATATTAGACATGTTTCAAAATTCAGAACAGGGACACTGAACTCCTTTCCTATTTTCTAGACAGATACAGCCTTCAAGGCTTTATTTACTAATTAAGAGGACTCAAAGAACAGAAAAGTCAAACCAGGAGATTAAATGGATTTCTGTGGCAACTTCCCATTCCCTAACCATTTCAGAAAGTCCAAGTATTCCATTTAAAGGCACCCTTCTCAGTTTAAGGGAACTAACTTAGCTTTGGAACAAATGAACCACTCTGATTATTCTTGTAGTCAATCACAGTATTTCAGCTGTGAAAGCATAAAATAACCCAGCTATAATAAACCTCCTGTGGGACTATGTCTAAATTGCAAATTGGAGGGCCATTAGAACCATAACTGCCCCCCTCTCATGAGTGGGCCATCCTGTATCTAAAAATTTCATACTAGGGTCAAACATGAAAACTGATGATATCCTTACTTTGGTCCTGGACAATAAGGAATTTCTCCTTTGAATAAATGACCCTGGGGTTATACAGGCTCCCAAGTTTTCCTTGGGACTCTATGCATGAGCTTCAGATTATCCAAGATATGGCAAGGGCTGTGACTAGACTACCAACATAGGAGCTACACTACCCGCTGCCACGCGCCCCCCATTATCTTTCTGATTTAACTGATGGAAGAATTCCCACTAAACTACACCTGGGTCTGGCTCCAGAGAGTTAGTACCTAACCCTAATTCACCTTTTGTTTAGCAGTTATCTTTGGTTTCTCTTGTTGCCCTCTATGTGAATCTTGCCTGAGAGCTTCCCAAGGGTACAAAGTATATGCAAAACTTGGTTGGGAAAAATTCACACACTATGATATTCCTTAATAGAGTATTTGCATTTGGCCTTCTACCTCTGGCTTCATCAGCATGTTTTGGGACTATGGAAATCAACTTGCTAGAAGTGTAAATTTGGAGAATAATAAAAATGACCTTGGCTAAGGAAAGGGGTCTCAGTCCTGCGAGAGGCTGATTCCCCCTGCAGCTGGAAAGGCTAAAGACATCCTTAAAGTATGTCTTCTTCCATAGACCAGACCTGTGTGAACACATACCTGGTTCAACAACATTTAACATTTCTGTCCTCAATCTTCCTTTCTAGCATTAATGGCAAACTCTAACCAACATACTTTAATCCTCTCTTAACATGTATGATAAACAACTTTTCATTCACTTTTTGGTTCTACCCAGCTGTCTGATTTCCTTCCTAGGGTAGGGACATTGCATCCGACCTCCAGTCCCATTTATAACATCTGAAGGGTCCTGGGACCCTAAAATATTCATAATACCAATCCCCTGCCCTATAAATGTCCAGGAATGTCCAGAGCCCCAAACATCCTCCCTTATCTCTACTATACATCCCTATATCTCATAATAAGTTCCCCTTTAAGTGTGAGGCATCTCTAGTTCTAGAAGTTGACAATCACTTCTGTAACAAGTCATTAAAGACTCTTAACAACTTTCCTCAAAGGCCTAATTCAAACCTAAAACTAAAATTAAAACATAAAACCTCAAAGGGTTTAGAGCTTCTTGTAGACAAATTCCTGACCATTATGGGGTTATGCCCATATTACTCACTATATACCACTCTTATATTGGCAGTGTCAGACAGATCCTAAAGAACATCCCCAGACCTAAGAGCCATAAACTAAACTGTGATTCCAACCACTTCATAGGTCCCTTACACTGTAAGGAAAAATATATTCCAACACCACCTGGCTTTAAGGATGCTTTCTTTCTATATTCCAATCCACTGAGACTCAGTTCTTATTTGCCTTTCAATAGCAGGACCACTTGACACAGATATGCAACCACTCACCTGGAGTATCTTGCCTCAGGACGTATGGGCAGCTCCTACCTCTCTGCTATAACAGAAAACCTTTCTTCCTTGAAATGTTCATAAAGGAATAGCCTCCTTCAGCAAACAGATAATTTATTAACCTCTAAGAGACCTCTTACTTCACATCAGAACACTGCTGTAACTCATCAGAGACTAATCTCATATGGACATTAAGATTTCCCCTTCAAAGTTACAAATCCCCATGCA